GCCAGCTCGACATCATATCGTCAACCGAGACGATATGACAACGGAGGTCCAGAGCCGATGGAACTCTGTTATGTAGAGAGCGAGAAGGCTCGCCTCTACAGGCTACAAGAAGTTGCAGAGATGCAACAGATGTCAAAAGACAGGACACTACGCTTACGAGTGTAGTGCCTCGTCCAGTGTCTCGCGACACTGGGCGTAGTGACCGTCCACCCATGAGAAAGGGGCAGGGACGAGGGTCCGCAGTTGGTGCAAAGACGCAACAACGGGATGGACCGTCAAAAACGGACAGGATCAGTAGGTGCGGAGCACCCTACTGATCCAGCAACGTCAAGAGAATTTGTAGGCCTCTTGATGAAGGTTGCTCCCAACACACAGACATTGTGCGTTGCTGCTCTAGGTAATGAGATCTCACTCATTACCTTGAAACTCGAAGTGACGAATAAGTTGTCCCTTCGAGCTCTAGTCGATTGTGGGGCGTCCAACAATTTTGTGCGACGCCAATCGCTAGAAGATGGTCACTTTAAATTCAGTGAATGTGACACACCTCCTACGAGGATGACGGTACGTCTTGCGACAGGCGCATCCGTAATCAAATATGAAGCGTATAGTGAAGATTCACTATACGCTAGAAGATACCCAATACGACGATGACTTTATCGTATTGGATTTGGATGACAAATTTGATGTCATCCTTGGAATACCGTGGCTCAGAAGGTACGAACCACGGGTAAACTGGCAACATCGGACAGTAACGATGCTCTGCCGCTTGTTCATCAGATGGCCATCTGATGAACGTTTTGGAGCGTCCACAAGCGTGTGGATGTACTACGAGTGAGTGCGATGGCCTCACTTGTGGTACGGTCGTTAGTACGACTGCACAAAACCTTAGTGTACCAAACGGTTACACTTCGAGCAAAGTTCCGGCGGCTGTGAGGAAACACAGGCTGTGCCGAAGGTCCACCACTCGAATAAGTCGGGTGGACTGGGACAAAGATGTATCCCTAGAGGGGAACATCTAGAAGAGAAACAATCGATCGCTCAGGTTAAGCGAAACGATAATCCTAGATCGACTGGAGAGTCTTTCGTAGAGGATCTCGCTGTGGTTGCGCAACCCCAGCTAGAGGAAGTAAAGGGAATAAGTCCCAAGATTACAAATACGGCGGAAATAAGTTCCCCGAAACCCGCGGGAATAAGTCCTCGGGAAGACGAAGGAATAAGTCCTTCGAAGCCTGAGGGAATAAGTCCCCAGGAAATGACAGAGACATTGAATGTCATAGTCAATAACGGATCATGTGTAGGCGCTTATACACTTGATCTGATTGCGCCTCCGAAGTTAACTTCGGAGATCACTTCAGTTGCCAACGCTCGAACATAAAAGGTTCTTGCGTGATCTGCGTAGTGGCAAAGTCAAGCAGATCTGCATACTCGTCGCTGACGACGAGTATGTAACCGACATAAGGTCAGCAACAGTGTTTACTGAGAACGAGAGAGTTCTCAGTAGTTCATCTATGGACGAGAGTGTCCTAGATGAAAAGACACGAATTGAGCGATATGAGTCCCAATCATGGGAATCGCTCAAGGAAAATCCTCTCTATGAAGATTTGGTTGAATTCAAGGATGTATTCCCTGAAACTGTTCCGTGCGAATTACCGAAGGATAAAGGTATTCGACACGAAGTCGAGCTTAAACCAGGCTCGAAGTACTGTGTCATGAAGCAGTGGCCACTGCCTCGTGAACAAGTACTTGCGATCGACAAGTTCTTTGCCGATCGTTTAGCAGCGGGCCATGTGAGGGAATCAACTTCCCCACATAGCTCTCCCGACCTTCTGTGTGCGAAAAGCAACAGGAGGGTGGCGGATAGTGCACGCGTTTAACAAATTGAACGCTGCAACGGTACCGGCTCAGACGCCGATACCGAGGAAGGACGTAATCATTGATGGTATGTCAAAGAGTACCATCTTTTCGTCCATGGATTTGATGGATGGCTTCTATCAAATCCTAATGCGGGAACGGGATATACCCTATACCGCAGTTAGCACGCCTAGCGGCATGCTCTGGGAATGGCTAGTAATGCCACAAGGGCTCAGTAATGCCCCTGCCACGTTCAACAGGTGTGTATCACATCTGTTGAGGCCAGTACGAGAATTCGCGCCGAGTTATTTCGATGACGTATTCATCCATAGTCGAGCTATGGATGGAAAGTCGGACGTTGAGGTTCACAAGTACCACGTCCGACAAGTTCTTACAATCATGCGAAAGCATCAATTGTATGTAAACCTCAAGAAGTGTATATTTGCAGCAAGCGAAATACCACTTCTTGGGTGCATCGTTGGTAAGAACGGTGTACGTCCTGATCCCGAAAAGATCAAGGCGATCACCGACTGGCCCGTGCCGGTCGATGTCAAAGGTCTTCGAAAATTCCTTAGCTAGCGGCGTATTTGCATAAGTATTCACGCAATTACGCCGAGATGATCTGTACACCTCTCTCGTTTGTTGAAAAAGAACGAGAGGTGGTTATGGAACGCTGAATGTCAACGCTCTCCTTTGAGGGTATCAAGCAGAGCTTGATACAATCCCCAGTCCTAGCAATAGCCGATCAGGACAGGCCATTTCATGTGGTCTGTGATGCCAGCGATTTCGCAATCGGCTGTGCATTAATGCAGTACGACCTTGAAGGCGTTGAACGCGTCGTCTGTTATCAGTCGCGTCAGCTGCAACCAGCTGAGCGGAACTATCCAGTGCATGACAAGGAACTCCCTTGCCATGAAGTATGCACTCGCGAAGTTCAGAGTCTATCTATTAGAGATAGACCCCTTCGTTGTTTACACTGACCATGCGTCCTTACGCACGGCAGTGAACAGCCCGCACCTTTCACAACGAATGGCGCGGTGGTTGTCATTCTTTGCAGAATACAACTTTACGGTCGAGTACAAACCAGGACGACTTAATGTCGTCGCTGATGCACTCTCACGTCGTCCCGACTTTGAAACAGTCGCGAAACCCAACAGTGAGACAGTCACTGTTGCGGTTATGACGTCCTCAGTTCCATCTACAACGTTGTATGATGATGTGAGGCGGGCATACGCCCAAGATGGTGAGATAGTGAAGTTGTTGTCACATCTCTCCCAACCATCTCGAGAATCGTTGAAACGATTGTCGTCTCTGCGTATCGATCTGCATCAGATCGATACACTACTCGTAACGGTTTACTGTACTATACAGCCGTTTCTGGTGACACACCACGTGTTGTCATTCCAGATGATACTGATCTGCGTTTGCGGATCATGTTCGAGTATCACGATGCTCCTATAGGAGGACATCGTGGCCGAGAGAAAACATATCTCACGGTAAGTCGAGACTTTTACTGGCCCCGCCAGTATCAGTTTGTGCGAAAGTATGTTCGCGCATGCGAAGTCTGCCAACGAGTGAAGTCAAGTCCTTCACTGCGTGCACCTTTACAGCCTCTACCGGTTCCGGCTGAGTGCTGGGAATCCATCTCAATGGATTTCGTCTTCGGGTTACCCAAAGACGCACGCGGGAATACGGGTATTCTCGTATTTGTTGACAGATTCAGCAAAATGGTACACCTTGTGGCTGTACCAGAGACAATCACGGCAAGTGGCTGTGCTTGTGTCTTTATTGACACCATCTTCCGACTTCATGGGTTGCCCCGTGAACTCGTATCAGACAGAGATCCACGATTCACTGCTGATTTCTGGCGTTCCGTGTTCAAATCACTCGGAACGCGCTTGAAGATGTCAACATCTGATCATCCAGAGTCAGATGGTCAGACGGAACGTGCCAATCGTGTCCTTGAAGAGATACTTCGAGGATACGTACACTCCTTTAAGAGTTGGAGTGAGTTTTTGCCGATGGTAGAGTTTGCCATCAACAACTCGGTGCATGCGTCCACGACACATACACCGTTTTACGTGAATGGCTTGCGCCATCCGCGTGTACCCACCTTACTAGAGTGTAACTCTGGTTTAAGGGGGGAGGGACTCGCGCGAGCAAAAACCGATTTGGTTCACGCTCATCACGCTCTGACGAAGAAGTCATTGCGTTTGATGCCGATATCGATAACATCGATATCGAAGAAGATGATGCCAGTGAGAGTGCGGAAGCCCTCACTGAAGACAATGATCCCAGTGAGAGTGCGGAAGCCCTCACTGAAGAAAAGGTTGTTGTCGCTGCAGTGCGCTCACAGCACACTGAAGCTAACGAGTCATCAGATGAGTTCATACTGGCTCGTGAAACGGTAGTCCGTTTTGTGCAAGACTCCATCGCCGAAGCGGTGGATAAGCAAAAGCAAAACGCTGACAAGAATGGAAGGGCAAACACTCTTTTATTTAATAAAGGTGACTTAGTCCTACTGTCTACGGTTAATCTACCAAAACATGTAGTGACTAACCTGGGTAGCAGTAAACTACTACCCAAGTACATTGGCCCATTTCGTGTATTGCACCGCCTAGGCAATGCATACACGATCGAGTTACCACGTAAGATGCGAACGCATCCCACGTTTTACGTTGGTCGGCTTAAGCCGTACCATCAGTACGCTGCTTCTTCCGATGAAGAACGCCCTTGCGCTCAAGCATCTCGCAGAGAGCCTTGTGCTCCCGATGGTGGGCATCAACAAGGGTCTGAAGAGCAGTTATCTCAGCCCGAGACCGATCAACAATCCCACGAGCTACCCTTAGCTCGTCACGAAGAGATGTCAGAGATCTCTCGTTCTCAAGCTGAGCAAAGGCAAACTCAGCTCGATGCTTCGAGGCAGTGTCCACCATCTGGAGACGCCTATTCCGCTCATGCTCGAGATCGTCGCGTAACCCTTGCGTTACGCGATCAAAGAAGCTCTCGGGAACACACCGATCCACATGATCGTGTGGAGAGCGTCTTTCCTCCTCCTCCACCTCCATTAGAGAGGACTCTCGCGGTGGCCAGCGCTATCTAGTTGAGCAGCTGTTGAACCACCGCGACGTGAACGGACGTCGGACGAGTTACCCTCGTCCGGTGGCGCGGCTATCCCCCGTCCTGGGATTCTTGGGAGCCCCGCTCCCAATTGATGGTTGACGTACTGGGTCTGGTCGAGCAGTACGACGCGACACATCCTGTGCCGCAGAAGGACCGCCGGAGAAAGTCTTCCCGGCACGGTCGTAAAGGGATTTCAGGTTGTCAATCCCTTCGTACATCTCAGTAGAGACACGTACGCGCCACCACGGGCTATTAGGGAGGTAAGCCTTCTTAGGTGCTCGTGCAGAGTTGTTCACACAACATGGGCACGAGTCTCCCCAAGAGAGGCAGGGTAATCCTTTCTCCCTTGACAGACGATGCAGCTTGTAGCGTGCACCTGTCGGGGTTCGCTTTTCAAACTTATCACGAGCTTTGATAAGTTTGTCGTTCCAAGCGTCACGACCTACATCCTCGAGATTATGGATGTAGGCGTTCCACGCCTGAAGTAGTGAGGGACCATCACGTTTGTGATTCCCACTGTACCATCGATGTCTGAAGAAAGCATCGATGAAGAACTCATGTTCAGCGCGATAGTCTTTCGCGCTGGGGTCAAGGTGATGAATCCTCGACGAATCGAACAATCGTGTTCGATAACGATCACTCGTCGTCGCCGACAAGTGATCCATGACAGATTTAGGAGGCATCCATGCCTTCTTTTCTGGAGCGAGACGCAACACATTGCGGTCCCGCTCTTCCTGCGACGTGCCGACAGAAGTACTGGCACCTCGCTGTGAAGTGGTGTCCATTGGAGAAACGACACCACTATTAGCGCCCGAGTCTCGCGACCTCGAGCGCCTTCGCTTCGGCGATGGTTCATCTGACTCATCAGATGAACCAAAGATGCTGCGACGCAAAGCATCGTCCATGCCACGCTTGGCAGGCGGCTTGGATTCAATTGCCGTCGATACGGATCCGTCATCCGTATCAGGAGAGTACGAGACACCGAGCTCGTACTCTGCGAAGACACGAGTGTCTTCATGACCAGCGCCTGCATCACCAGGTGATACAGGCTGAGTCGATTCAGCAACCGATGGGACATCAGTTGCTGTAGTTTCTGCTTCGGCGTCCGCACAGAGACGTGCAGACGCGCTCTCGGCGGCCTTGCTCGCGCATCGCATGGGCTTGTTTACCATGCGATGAGATGTTGGAAAGTGGACGCGGACCAACAAGTGCAAACCCCGTCCCAAATGATTTAGGACGAGTATCCATTTAGTCAATCAGTCACTAAAGTGACTGATGGTTAAGGGGGGGGTGATGTAACGGGGTGAATCGTTACATAACAATTTATAAGAAATTGTTAATAGAATATAACTATAAGAGTTATATTCTCAGAATATTGTCATAAGGACAATATTCTGTAGCACTTCCAAGTAGTTCCTAATTGGTTGATATAGGCCATTATATCAACCAACGAAGACGCGCCACGACAGACGCACGCAATGAGTGGTGAGCAGATAACTGATTTACACATTTGTATTTAGACATAGTTAGATGAAGATAAATAGTGATTTATTGCAGACATTAACCATTATAAATACAGTTCTACTTTTTACTCTAACCGAGTACTCGCTTCTTCTTACCGTCTTCCTCTGCACGTACGAGTGTACGTGAAGTTACGAGGCACCGCCTTATTCTGTTATCAGAATAAGTAGCTTGTACTGTCACCAGTACAAGCTTCAGGGTGCCCCGTTACACTGACCGTGACTGGGGCCAGTAAATACTGCCACCCCTGTACGTTCACGTTCCAGTTTCTGCAAGGGCAAACTTTGGTACATAATGGGGTCGGAAACCCTGAACACTGTTGACACAGCCGGTAGACTGTCGCGTGCTATCGCCAATATGACAGCACTGAATGTAGAGGTGGGCCCCGATCAGCCGCTTGCGCGGCCCCTCGAGTATGGACACCGAAGTACCCACTAGGCGCGGGGGACGCCGCCTGCCGTTATACTTCCCCCTTGCCTGCCTACGCACGACCGCCAGGGCGCGAGAGGGGGCATTTTCAAGTCGTGACTTCTCCCGCTTCGGCTCTCGCGAGGGAGGATCCCCGCCGAAAGGGGCTGCCCTATTATAAAGACGGAGGTTTGGACTGACGCAAGGGCGACTGCGAATGCAGTATTTGGGAATGGAGTCGAGTCGTGATGCTTCATATGCGTTTATAGAGGTCTTCATGACACATCGTGTCCAGCCGACCCCGTCCGCTTTGACATGTCCCGCATCCAATTATCCGCCAATCAAGTCGCCACGTCACTCACATCAACTCAGCCGCTGAATCACCATCTGACTCCACCTCGTCTGCACCTGATTCGCAGAACCTGATCCCTCAACAGCCCACCATCTGTTTTTCAGATTCAAACACGCAAACGTTGCACGAATCATCAATGGAAAAAACCTCGTTCGTCGGTTTGATAGGCATCAGTTGCGAATCCGTCGCGTACCCCCGCGTACCCTCCTCTCTCAATCATGACGGTCTCCACTATAACCGCCTCACCTCATCACTCGAGCAAGTGCCTGCGGCCACTCACGTGCGTCTCCCTCGCCCTCCGCACCTCCTGCCCCTCATTATCAGCGCTCCCGTACGTCCAAGCGTGTATCTCGTCGTACGTGGACTATTCCGCACGCTTTTCCATCCCTCAGGCATGTTTACGCACCATTTCGCGAGCTAAACTGCATCTACTGGAGCGATTACGAGCCAATCAATGCGCGAATCAGGTACCGGACTCAGACGAAGAGCTACAGTGGTACCGTCAATGGGCATTTGCTCGCGGAAGTGCCTACGCTGCAACTCGTGGCGATCTCGATGTCTTGCAGTGGCTCTGTGAGGTTTATTACCCTCAAGGACACGTAACAGATGCTGTGGAAAAGGCTGCAGAGGCGGGACACGTGCACATTTTGCAGTGGCTCTATGCCCACCATCGAAACGTCATGTGGGGGGCCAATGAGCTGCAAGTTGCGGCTCAGAACGACCGCGTTGCAGTCGTCAAGTGGCTGTATACGCACACGTCTCCTCCAGCCTCGGTCGGTATACGGGCTGTGGAATTTGCCGCTGCCAATGGCAATTTTTCACTTGTCAAGTGGCTACATGTTGTGCAACGGCAGTGGTCGGGCTATGCAGCAGGTGAAGCAGCTGCGCGAGGCCATTTACATGTGTTCAAGTACATGGTCAAGGGACACGTTGTGCTCCGAGAGAGCGTGCTGAACGAAGCCGCAGCAAGTGGACAGCTGAAAGCTGTGAAGAAGCTGGTGAAGCGCCAAGCGACGTTATTGACGACAAGGACGACGACGGCAGCAGCAGAAAATGGACATTTGCACGTGGTCAAGTGGATGCATAACAAGCGGTTTGACGGCAAGTTTGCGTTCTGGACGACGGCAGCAATGGATAAGGCTGCGTCAAATGGACACTTGGCGATGGTCAAGTGGCTGCATCAAAATAGGTTCTTGGAATCGTGGAAGGCTTGCACTCGAGAAGCGATGGATCAAGCGGCGTGCAACGGTCATATGGAAGTGCTACAATGGCTCCACCGACATCGTCATGAAGGATGTACAACCAAGGCGATGGATGGTGCTGCAGCGAACGGCCGTATCAAGATTGTCAAGTGGCTGCATCAACACAGGGTGGAAGGGTGTACGCAAGATGCGATGGATGCAGCGGCGGCGAACAATCAACTGGCAACTCTGATTTGGCTGCATAGAAACCGAAGAGAAGGTTGTAGCACGGCTGCGATGGACAACGCTGCTGGGGCTGGCCACTTGGAGGTGGTCAAGTGGTTGCACAGGAAGCGAAAAGAAGGATGTACTTCTAATGCCATGGACAACGCGGCTGCCCATGGACACTTGAGAATGGTCAAGTGGCTGCAGTTGCATCGAAAAGAAGGCTGTTCCGTGCAGGCAATGGATCGTGCGGCTGCAGGTGGTCACTTGAGAATGATCAAGTGGCTCCAGCTGAATCGATTTGAAGGCTGCACGTCAGCGGCAATGGATAATGCTGCGGCTGGAGGGTGCTTGAAGCTTGTGCGGTGGCTACATGAGCACCGTGTTGAGGGATGTTCCACTCGTGCAATGGATGAGGCAGCCGGAGAAGGTCACTTTGAGGTGATGGCGTTCCTGTTTGCTAACCGCAATGAAGGCTGTACGTGGCTAGCAGCCGAGAACGCTGCGCGTTCGGGTCATTTGGAGATCTTACAGTGGCTGCACTTCTATTTTCCGGACCAGTTCGATCATAGTCGTGTCGCTGCTGTCGCTAATAGAGACGACTTATATCTGATGGAGTGGCTGCACAGTGTTGGTATCTGGTACGCGTTGTGATGAATCTCAGTACTGCGAAGTTGGTTGTGTCAATTGGTACATTGAGGTATGCAAACTTGTGTAAGCTCGTGATGAGAAGCGAGATTTACCCGGACATGTATGTATGACTACAAATTTTCTGCTCGGACAAACCGAACATATTCACAATATTAGCTAAATATGTAATATCTGTATGACTACAAATTTTCTGCTCGGACAAACCGAACATATTCACAATATTAGCTAAATATGTAATATCGTGTTGCAAAATAGTGATACAATGCTCATTAATTGATACATATTGTCAATATCGACTAATAAAGCCGGGCCGCGACAGATAAACGCAAAAAGTGGTGTAGCGGAGCTACTTAGCGCTTCTTAGCAGAGGAAGTCTTAGACTCAAATAGTCTCTTAGTCATAACAAGTAACAACGACGTACAGTCGTTCAAGCGTACAAGTTCACCAATACCGGTTTCAAAGGGATAACTAATTGCAGAATCACACACTAACTAGAGGCTACTAGTTAAACAAGATTTTGCGCCTTCACAAGGCTAACACTCTTGCAACACACTATGCATGGACTAGACACTAGTGTCCAGCGATTCAAAAACGGATCTGAACTTTATTATTCCTTAAAAAAATACGGTAATAAAAACCCTAAAACCTTGTCTGACTGACTTCTGCATTGCGATCCTGTGACAGAAGTCTCATCTCTTATTCAATAATTCATCGATTTCACTATGATGAGCCATCCACATTCACCTACGGTGGTACAGCTCACAATTGTTGATTCCTCTGTTGATTTGCGTTGGTCTCCTCCGCCACTCCTGATGTTAATAGTAACGCTGACTGATGAAGCCATGGCTGATACTGCCACTTCTTCCGCAGCCGCTTTATCATGACTTCTGGATGGTCCGTCTGGGAGGAGGCCTCACTTCTACAAGAGCAGGGTGTCCAGACCGTCAATAAGGCGTCGTGTGCTTAAGTTTGCCGTTAGTATTGTCCTTACAAGATCTCGCCGTATCAAGCGCGTTTCCTCTGTTGCTCACAAGGAAAAGATTGTCGTGAACTCAAAGACGGCTGGTGCCTGTGCGAGACAGTGAAACCAAAAAGGCTGGCTGTTCGCACGATATTTCGATCGTAACTGAAAAGAATATGCCAGTACATTGAGCCTGTTCGACGCTTTATTTAGCAGCTACCACACTATCACCTTGATACACAAACAAGAGAACACTGTCGACCCTAACGGCGGCGCGGCGTGTGTCACAAGCCGAGAAAAACATGGAGGACACGGTTGCCCAAATGAGTAACTCTGGATCTACTTTACAGGTATGTGCGCATACATGACAATAGAATTGTACAATGCACCGCATACTGTACCTATCTTTGATATCGCACAAGTTAGACTGAGCCGCTTTTTACTAGTAAGGGAGGGTTTTTCGAATGAAGCAGAAATAGGGATTAAATGTACACCGTTGACCGTAAGTGGTGCGGACCATACTATGTATCAACCGCCAATTTCAAGACGCTCACAGGTGTTGTTGCGGACTACACTGTTGATGATTATGCACTAATTATGGGCTTAAAGATTTATCAGGGACCGGACTAATGTTGAATTCGAAGCATTAGTGCAGATTAGTGATAACTGAAGCAGCGCAGTACGTAACAATGCATTTGTCTACACGCTTTCAACGCGCAATTTGAAACGGTAGTGCCACCGTAGTATTTGCGATATTTGCTAGTATTTTGTTGCTATACCGGCGTCAATTGCCATTATGTGCCATCTACCACAGACATCAAGTGCCATGCCACAAAGAATTACAGATTTACGAACGTG